AGTTTCTGTCTCTCAATTGAGCTGCTCAGGTTATCTTCCAGGAGTGCTTATTGTTAGCTTGCTTTTGCAGACACTGGAACAAAGGTACCGTGTGCTTCAGTGGCCGCAAAACTGAACAGCGCAGCTTCAGATTTGCCAGATTGCCCTCAGGATTGCTGACTGCTGCTGCTGTGACTCTGCAGAAAGCTCCGGGAGAGGTGGAGCAGCAGCAACGCAAGAGCTTGCAAACATCAGGCCACCCCAGAACGATGGGGTGTTCTCTTCTGGGCAGCTAGAGAGGGGAGAGGAAAACAGGTCAGCTCTGCCCTTGCTCTGAGCATGAGCCTGGCCTGACTTGTGCACAGCCAGGGACATAAACCTGCAGAACTTGTAGGAATTCCTCTCGCTCATGTACCATTCTCCATCTGTCCCATGCCTCCCATGGATGTAATTAACTTCTGTGTGCTGCCTCTCCAGAACTCAGTTATGTGCCTCTTTCTGTAATGCTTGACCAAAACACAGCTATATCTGGAGAACTACAGGTAAGGGCTCTATGTTCCAGCTGCAGTTTACCTGAGCAGAGGAAGGCAGGACAATTCCTGCATACCCCTCTGACCCCACTTGTCTTCCAAGGCAGTGGTTGCCAGGATTGCTTTAATACCTGGAGGATCCCTTGGTTTTATTGGTCTGTGTTCAAGGTTCACGGCTAGTTTGACAAATGCCTAACACAAAGACTTGGTGTTTCCATGATAAACAATCCTTGTGTGCTTAAGTGGGGGTGTACCTATAACATCCGGAGGCTTTAAATAAGGTTTAATGTGTTCCTAAATGGACTGTAAGCGTTTCAGGGCAGGTGCACTCTGGTGCAAAGATACCCCAGTGCCCTTAAATCATCATGGAATGGTTTGGGTTGGAAGGGACCCTAAAGCTCATCCAGTTCCAACCCCTGCCACAGGCAGGGACCCCCTCCACTAGAGCAGCTTGCTCCAAGCCCTGTCCAACCTGGACTTGAGCACTGCCAGGGATGGGCTGTGGCAGCTCTGATGCACTCTTTCTATCCTTATTTCCCAGCTGCTGCAGGTGGAGCTCTGAGCACCCATGGTATGTGCACTGTCCCTCACATGCAGGTTTGCACTCTGAAGTTCCAGGCTGTTCGCAAAGTTACCTTTTCATTTGGAGGTAGAAAAGTTGTTCAGGCCATTTTGCATGGATACTCCTTCCAGTAACCGTTATAAAGGGTTTCGGCCTCACTAGGTATTCCATTAACAGGGTGCCAAGAGAGGTTTTTCCCTGTTGTGTTAAGGATCTCCAGCACAATGTGCTTGAAGGGCTCTGTTTAGTCTGGGAAGATTCCAGTTATGTGTCAAACACGTTAAATCAATGCCATTTCTATGATTGCAAAGGAATGGAGCTTCCTCTTCTCTTTCACCTGTAGGCAGGTGGTGATGGCAAAGGACTTTTAAACAATAGCTTTATCCATGACTTTGAACCAAATCTTACTAAATAATCCAGCCCCTCTCTCGGACTCAGCTCCCCATCAGCCTGGTCGTGGCTTTGGTCCATCCCCACAACCTGAATAATTCTGCTTTTCTAGCAAAGCTGCTGTTCCTGTCAATGTCCTCTGCTGTGGTGCTGACCCCCGGTGGTTGCTGTGCTGGTGCCTGCTTTGCAGTGCTAACAGTTGCTTGGGTATGACCCTGATTCCCTGTCAAGTGCTCGTTTTAAGTAAATGAAGTTTTCTGGGGAAAGAAGGAATGTATTCTGAGAGACAGAACAAACGTTTTCAAAGAACCTCAAACTTGCTTTTTAAATCTTTTTTTCCTTGTTTTATTCAGTTTGGGGAATATATTCCCAGTGACCTAATGCAGAACTGAGAGCAGTTTGTTTGTCATGAGCTTATCTTTCCATTTTCTGCCTGTTTGCTATTATGCTGCGAACATGGACTTGAAAACCAAAGAGCCATCATCACAAATCCGCATGGATTTGAGTCAGGCTACTGGTATGGGTAGCCCCAGCTGAGTTGGTTGCTTAGAAATAAGTAGGAAAAAGACTTTTGGGGTTTGGATTTATATTTGTACATGTGCTTTACAAATAATTACTTAACCTAAAGCTGAGAATTTCTTTCTGCTCCCCAAGAAGAGTTAATCATGTGGGAAGTACCACAAATAAATCAAGAGTTATTAATGTTGGCTGCCCAAATTGATAAGTGAGGATTTGTTTTCTGTAAACTGCAAAATGCTGCTTTTGCAGATATAAAAAAGCTTGTATCTTCCAGGCGAACTGTAAATGAGCTGGAAGGGTAATTTAACAGTAATTTAACATTAACATTTTAACATGAATTTAACATTCACAGTTAGTTAAACTGGATTAACTCCTGTAAAGATTTCTGCACATGTAGGACCTCCAGAAAAGGCATTGCAGAAGTGACTTTTTCTCCCCTATCAAGTTCTGCATTTTCATTATAAATTTGATATTCGAGTCCGAGGTGGCAAAAGGGAGTGCCATGATTTTCTGAGGGTGGAATATCTATTGTCCACCCTGTGGAAAACACTGAAGACCACATACTCTCCAGCTCTGATGGCAAAGTACACACAGGAAAGTTTAAAATACAGATGACATTCTTCTGAATCTAGCTACAGGGATCTAATGCTGATTATCCTATTGATCCGGAGTATTTTACTGTGTTCCAGGTACACCTAGGAATCTGATACTTAAAATGTTGCCAACGATTAAGCATTCATTTACATTTATCTACATAACTAACTCGGGCTGGAGCTGCTGTTTTGCCTCAGCAGTAGAACAGGGTGTTTTAGCTAGTTTTCCTTTTTTTTTCCTCCTCCTTCCCTTTCAGTTTTCCTAACCCAGCTGCCCCCAGTTAACCTGGGAATGCCCCAGTGCTCTTTGACTCCAGGAAAATTACACTCTCCCTGTAGAGAGAGGGATTTTGTTACGCTTAAACTTTCATTGAGCTTGATAATGTCTCACTTGAGGCTTTTTGCTTTCATTCTTGTTGATTGAATTAGGGAATCGTGGCTCAAGATTGATGCTTCCCCCTTCCTCCCCTTTCCCTTGGGGAGTGCGTTTTGTATGAAGTTTAAAATGATTAATGGGAGAGCGTGATTGTAATCATTTATTTTAAGAAAGCCTGAGTGGAAATTGTTGGGCTTTGATACCCGTGCTTGTGATCTTAAACAGGGATTACTGGCTTGCCTGTTATCTTGCCTTTTACTGGGCATTTGTTACAGCTGCCAGTCCGTGGCAAAACCTGGTTTTGGAAGTATCAGCTCAGGGTCGGTAGGTTAATGATGGGAAGGATTTCCTCAGGGCTCACTGTTCTCATCTATAGGCTTTGAGCATTTTAAATGGACAAATCCTAATCTGGCTGGTGCTGCTTTCGTTTAACGACTCGCCAGTTTCTCATTTAGACAGGCCAGGAGAGGGAGGCAGAGTCCACTGCAAAGCAGAGTCCAACTCAAGCGCCTCGGAGTTTATGGGTATAAAAAGGTTTGTACTGCATCAAACCCACAACTGCACCACGGGGATCTCCTGCAGTTCCTCACCATCTTAAGCCATTGCTAGTGGCCATACGCAAGGGACATGAGAAGCTTGCAGTATTAAGTGAAGCTGTTCTGTGCTCCAAGTTACTTCCCATCCATGCATCCATCCATGCATCCATCCATGCATCCATCCATGCATCCATCCATGCATCCATCCATGCATCCATCCATGCATCCATCCATGCATCCATCCTGCAGTAACACCAACTCTGCAGCACTTACAGTCAAATTCTACTTTGCTGGTAGCTCATGGTACCCCAAGGATGGGGGTGGTGGTGGGGGCATTGCCATGTGTGAATGGGTCTGTCAGATTTTAGGCTGAAGCATAATTCCATGAGGGGATGGCTCTTTCAGGTTAGCTAAACTGTTATAGATTTAGGTTCATTTCAAGGTAATTTGGCTAATTTAATGTCATTTGATGATTACAAGCAGCAGCAGCATTTGGTTTATCAAATAGGCCATGTTTGGCATAAATTGAATGTGTCTCGATAAATTCTAATTCAAGAAATGTTCATCTATATAAATCATGTGGTGGGGATTAAAATGGCAAAAATAAGTAAGAAAATAAAAATAATTAAAAAAGAAAATAATAAAAAAAAATGAAAATCAGAGCTTTTGTGCCTGTGGCTTTCTCCATTGTGAGAATGTTCTTAGTTTCCCAAACTGAATAGCAAAATCCAAAAGGACAACTCAGTCTTCTCTCAGCAGCCCAGCTGCTATCTGCCATTTTGCTGTAAAAAAGGTGTTTCAAGGAAATAAGAAATCTTTTGGGAAGCTGTAGCTCTTACAAGAGTCACATCAAAGGCCTCTCGTGCTTCTGGGGATCAGGCCAAATTCATCAAAGAGTTTTTATAGAGTTCTGCCCTGTGTAAAAGTTTTATTGGAGGTCCTGGGCAGCCTTCAAAACTCTTCTGGACTGCATCAGTTTGATTTAACTCAGCTTCATATTAGAGCAGTTGATCTAAAATTAGCTTGGAGTATGGGCACTCTCCTTAATACAGGATTTTGCCTGGTACATATTTAGGATTGACACTAGGACAGAGTGACCAAGGATATGACAAAAGCCTTTGCATCGTGGCTGAGTGTGAGGAAAGTTAAATTACTGCTTGGTGTTGCTTGCAGGACCCCAAGGAAGCATGGAGTTACCCAGGTCAGAAATAACTTACCTAAAATGATTGTGATTGAAGCTCAGGACAAGCTGCACGTTGAATTTCCTGCTAGAGAAAAGCCTTTATCTAAATAAAGTTCTAGTGAACATTTACTGTCATAATTCGGTGGTAATCCTGCCGGGGAATTCCTCTCAGTAACTCTTATTATTAATTAGTTCAGCCAAAATAGGGGATTAATAAATATTGCAGCACTCTTGATGTGACATTCCTTGTTTATTCCCATTTTACACATAGCATATGTGAGGAACAAAGGCTTTTCCTCACTTTTGGTAGGTACCAAATTAGGGATAACGGGAATCTTGTGTGTGAGGAGGCCTTGGTGTCTTCTAGGTCTGGACCAGTAAGGAATGCTATTGAAAACCTTGGAAGTAAGGGCTCTTCCAACTAGCTGGTCTGTCCCTCAAAACCACAGCAACCTGACTGCAAACCTGAGCACGGTGATGCTCCTGCCACACAGGCTGGGGTGTGCGTGCTCGTGCAGCTTGCTCCAGGCTTCTGCTTCATGTGGACGTCCTGAGTGGCAGCACAAGGGATGGTGGTGGGATCAGCCTGAGAACAAAGTAAGCTGGTCAGCCGAAGCTTCTGTGATGTGTTGGCTATTGATTTTGCCAGCAAATACACCTGAGGCTGGGCTAACCTTTCTCCAGCAGCAGCCCGAGAATTAGTGATGACATTTCTTGTTAGGAAATAAGCTCCATGTACCACTTTCTGCCTATGTTACCATGGTTTCCCCCACCCCTTTGCAAGTCTAAACCATTAGCACTCTAATGCATCATCTAGATGATGATTTTTCATGGCTTCATGGTCTACTCAGACCTCTCTGGTCTTGTCACTGAGACATGACAGCGTTTTTATAACTCTCTTGCTGAGAACAGCTAATGGGAGTGCTCAGCAATTGAAAGGTCAATGTGATAAGGAGTGTTCCCTTAGGTACCTGCATTCCCGTATTAAATAAAGCCTGCGTGAGGAGGGAGCATGGCACAGCGTGAACCTGACTTAGTGACAGACTACAGCAAAAATGAGGAAGGATGGGCGTTGAAGTCACTCTTGTTACCCATAACCTGGAGTTTCGTGAGTGCTGGAAGGGGGTTGTTAGGCTTATGACCAGCTCCTTTAATTTATTTTACTACATGGAAAGAAGCGTCCTTCAGGGTGCGTTTTTTGTATGTGTTCCGAAATGGTTTTTAAGTATCTGCTGTGGTGCCATTATTTCCTTTAATAAACAGAAATAAGAATAGGATGAGAGAGAAGCTGCTGGGGTTGTTGCACTATAGCAGAAAGTAACATGTTTGAAGAAAAGCATTTGCTGTATTTACTAGGGCACATGTAACTAATAAATGGATGAATAATTAAGTGAACTTATACATAATTAACTCTGCAGTCTGTGGGCATAGGACCAAACTGGCATTTGTCAGGGCACATGTGTAAGCTCAAATCCTTATGGAAGAGCAAAAGGCTTTGAGCAAGTATTAGCTGTTTTCCTGCTGAATTTCTAATTAACCCGACTGGGGGTTATTTTGTTTGTATTTGTTTTATCAGTATCTTTTATTGTTCCACCACACGTGTCCCAGCCCTACAGCTCATCATGTATGGTGTGATTTATCCCTTTCTGTCCAACGCTTCACTGCGTTATTTTGTGTAGCATTCCACATAGAAAATGCGGAGTTGCAAAACTTCTTGATGGAATTCAGTATGTAAAGCTCACTGTGATTCAGGGGAAACTGAAGACACAAACTTGAGGTTCTCTTAAATTTTATGTTTTTTTTTCAGCCTGGTTTTAGTTTTTCTCCAGCTTTGACCTCATTTTTTTTTTTATTTGGCTTTTAGAAGCTTATGTTTTCATTCATATATGTATCCTTAAATGGATACGAGATGAATTTAAGCATTTTTGCAGGTGTATTCCACTCTCTGTGCGACTGAGTTATTGGGTAAGGATCTGGTCCTTGAAGATCCTGAAGGTATTTGAGCAGCTCTGGCTCCCCTTTGCTGCTTGGGGTGTAAATGAGTAGTGAGTAGAGCGAGTGGTGGTGGAGCCATCTCCTCTGTTGTTATGGGAACACCAGCAGTGGGGTGCCAGGGAAGGCAGTAGAGATGGTATTTGCTGAATGACATGTAAAATCAGAGCTCTGGAAGGAATGGCTCTTCCCTCCTTAGAGAAATTTATGCTTTTGTAGGGCTGATCTGAAAACAAGCTGCTTGGAAGTGACGCGGGGTTTGGAGGTGTAATCCATGCTGGTAAAAAAGTATGCTTTATGTCTGTGTGTTATTGCTATGCAGCCATCTGCATGCTGTTACCTGTGGATGCACATCTCCATCCTGCTCTATACTATCACAATAACTCTGTCATAGCTGCTTGAGGCATGCAAGCCCTCCTTCACCGCTCTCCTGAATGGCTTTTTTGCATTTTATTGAATTACTGTGTGCTTCAGGTCCTGAGGTTCAAATCAGGGTCTGCAGTGCTGAGCTACATCTGTTTCACACTGTAATAACAGAGGCTGTACAAGTGTTCAATACAAACCAACCTGCACTTTGAGTAACAAGTCCTCTTTGAAGCATGAATAAAAAAGAGGAGGCAAAGTCTTGAGGGACGTTGTGGGGTGAGACGATGCAGACAGGGTGGCTCCAGTGCAGCTGTGCTTTGCAGCCAGCAATGTTCACAGACCAGCGGGTTAGAATCAGCAAGCTGCTCTAGTGGAAGGGGTCCCTGCCTGTGGCAGGGGCTGGAACTGGAGGAGCCTTAAGGTCCCTTCCAACCCAAACCAGTCCATGCTGCTGTCCCTTGCCATGGCCATGCACCCAGTCCATAGGCTGGCATGGGAATCGAAGTAAAGCTTTCTGGCAGTGACTGTGCAGCTCTAAGTCTAATGTTTGGAGGCTACTTTAGTATAGATCCATTTTAGGCTATTTTAGGTGGAGGATATGAGCTGGATAGTTCTAGACTTCATCTAAAATACTTTTTCCTACTTCAAGACAAGGCAAAGCCTTCTACATTTTGGAGCCTGGTCAAGCATGAAGTTCTGAGCTACAGCAAAGTATTTCATTTCATTACTTTTCACTTCATCTTTCTTCCTAAAAATGTCTAAAACACACATAACATTAGAAATGCTTGGCTGCCTAACAGTGAAACTGCAGAAATTTTGGCACTGGATCTGATTGGAAATTCAAATGGGCTTTGCTAGTGTGAATCTGAATTCATCTTTCAACGTGGTACACATGGAAAAGGAGGAGGGGATGATGTTACTAGAAGTTAGAATTTATGTAATAATTTGCATAGACGATTTGCAGCATGGAGGTGTCTAAATAGTATTAAACCTCATGTTTTAAAGAATAGAATCAGGAATAATGAAGGTGATTTTTTTTTTTTTCTCGTCTGAAAAAAGTGAGTTGCATTTAGTTACAGTGTTCTATTTTTAGAAACACTGAGCTTCCTAAACTCTCTCTAAAGCTTCTCTAACACTTGCTGTGCCTGTAGGGGCTCCAGTTGTAGGGCCTGGGTCTTGCTGGTTCATTAAATCCATGCAAAGGCTGGAAAGCTGGAAAAGGTGTGTGTAGGTTTTAGGGCCATATCCCCTGTCCCCAGCCCCAGAATAGAGAGGGATGATGCTTATGCTATTGCATACTTCTGTTTTGCTTTCCAGGTTCTTCATAGGCTTTTTTCACTTGATCACTTCACATAACTGCAAGAAAAATCACTAAAGCAGCGACCTCTCCCGTAGTTTCCTTAAATATCATTATTTCATAGTGGCCATTTTTCACTTTTTCACTCTCTTCCCTGCCTTCACCTAACCAGGGATTAGAAGCTGCTGCTCATCAGTGGCAAGTTTAAATCTGCTGATACCACAGGGTCTCTGGCATGTTTGAGAGGGACCCTTGAGTGAAAGAGAAAATCCAGCTGCACCTTTTCAGTACTGTAAATTGTTCCAGAAGGAAGAGAAAACCTGGAATGCCTCACACAAGAAATGCAGAGGTGTGTGCTGCCAGCTGAAGAACCACAGCTCATTTTGCTCATCTGGAATTTTCTTCTGGTTTTTGTGTGGGTGTTGGCTTTTCTCAGTTCTATGTGTCACCGATAGGAACACATTGAGCCTAATGACAGTAGTAGCCTTGCAACAGAGCTATTAAAGGGAGTAAGAACAATGTGGCATAAATCTGTGCCTTATCTTGCAAACAAAAGTAAATGCTCTTCAGTCTAACCTCCAGCTGGAGAGAGGCTACAAATGTGCTCATGCCTCGGTTTTGGAAGGGAACAAATGATATAATGATTAATAAAGATCAGTAATGTAATATTACTCAGTTTGTCTTTTTTGCCATCAAAGACTCAAACGCCTGTTACTCTGCTCAAAAGCTTAGCACAAGAAACTGCCTTTAGGTCAAGGAAAATTTACTCCATATATTAATGTAATCACAAAAGAGAAACTTCCTTCCTGTGATGATTCCCTCTGGACAGCCCAGGAAAAGAATCATTATATCAAAAAATCAAGAGTTTTACAACTCCTCACTGCAAATCTGATTACTTCGGTGTCTTTGGAAAAATGCAAGATTCTTCTTTTTCCCTTCCCCTTCTGTAAGAGCACTTCATTTTTAGGGGCTGTTTAGTGAATCTGAATCGCTGAGGAGCAGGTGTAGGAGGTCTGAACAACATCTGTGTGACCACGGATGAAAACATTATGACCATTATGGTATAATAGACAAGAATATCTTCTGGTAGATGTGCCAGAGCTGTGGGCATGGATCTCCCTGTGCATGTGCCTGTGCATACATCCCTCTTCTTCACTTCAGCAGCTGGCCTGGGAATTGCAGGGCTGTGTGTTGGCTTCTTGAAGCGGAGCTGTAAATCATAACCCAACTGCACAAAAAGGCACCTCTCTATTGAAAAGTCAGTAAGCTTTGTCAGAGATCTGATCTGCTCCAGTTCCCAACAACTGCTTTTTACTGCTGGTGCAACACAGGCAGTACAACAAGCTGGGGCTTTAATGTGATGGATGAAACAGGGAAAAGGAACCCCAGAGTCAACCCTTGTCTGTGGAGCTTTGAGCATTAAGACCTTTCTTTCTGATTTGGAAGTGAGAACAAGGTATTTCTGGAATCAATTATTTTAGCTTGGAAACTTGGCAAGTTTTAGCTGAAGGAGGTAGCTATGCCATAGCTATGAAGGAGAAGATATGCCAAAATAGCCAGCATATTTCCACATTTTTCTGTACTGCCACTACTGATACTATAGATGATAATACTATCTATAGTAGTATCTATACTCCTAGAGCTACTCCTTTTTGTCATCAGATCCTTCTACATCCAAGCTAATAGGTTAGCTGCAAAAGGAAAAATATTTCAGAAGATAAAAGAAGTTTTTCCTAATATTAATCCTTGAAAAATAACCAAACATACTTCTTTCTGTATTTACCAGGTAATCTTTTAGATCTGATGCTTGTGTGTAGGAGGCACTTGCTTATTTTACACAATGCTTTGAGATCAGTGGAAATGAAAACCAGCATAATTACCCTCTGGCCTTTTATCTTTCTGTGGTATCATCTCTAGAGAATGCCAGGAGAGGGTAGAGAAGCCTTTGCACAGCGGATAATCACAGCCATTAGAGGAAACAACACTAACTTAACATCACCTGCATTTTTCTCACTAAAACATAGATATTGGAGTCAGTGTTGATCCGTTACTGAAATCATGCAGCCAAGAAACAGCCACACTTATGGTAGGACCCACAGGAAAACCTGAGCTTTGGCTATTCTAGTAAATTCTTTAAATATTCAGAGGGTTGGTATGCTAAAATAGGGGTGATGGACACAAAGAACATGAATGTCTGCTTTAAGTGCAAAGTACCAGTCAGCCATAATTACAAATTTGGGATCAATGCTGCTGTATTTTGACTGTGTTGGTAAATAATTAATGAGGGAGTGCAGTGCAAGGATGAAAATCTCCGTTTCAAACTCTGTCTTGAGTGAAATGTAAAACTGTATCTGAACAAATGCTGGTGCTCTTTAAAAGAGGGGAAGGAAAGGACCGGATTTACAGTGCAATTGGAATTTCAGAAGGGAAGCAGCAGTTTTATTCAGTAGTTAAATGCACATGAAGTGTTCCACCCTCTCCGGTTTGTCATTATCCCTGATCCAGAAGCAGCAGCTGAGTGAGCAGGATCTCTAATGGTGTGGGGAATATTCACGTGTCAGTAAGATCTTGACTGAATGTCACATCCACTTAGTGCTGTTTAAAGGAGAAAGGAAATCACTGTCTCGCACCCCTGAGAAAGGTCAGCCCATCCATTTATCTCTGTTTGTCTGAAGCCAATTGGAAGTGTGATGCAAGTTTGTCACCTAAGGATTTTTTTTGAAAATGGGTTTGTTAAGGGACAAACCACCAGCAACTCTGAATTCTTGTGCTGGTGCTTCACTTTCCTAAAGCCTGTGGGGTTAAAATCCACTTGTGGCTCTGTCTGGTGTGGGTTTTGGTGGAGGGTCCAATGGGGATGCTCTCTACACTATCTCTTGGTTGTAATACTGGGTGTATAACAGGGTAATTCTCACTAGAAAACTTGTATGTCCTTATATTAAGTTGATTTTAGTCAAGCCTACACCACCATCCTCAAACAATGGTCAGTTGCTGTAGTGCAGTTTATCTGTGGAGAAATTTGCAGTGATGCTTGAGGTTGTGCCCTGGAAATCAGTTAACATTCAGTATAATGCAAGGATGCTGGTCCTCATAGGCTCAGAAAAGAAATGTATTTTCCAAATATTTCAGAAAATAATGGTAGTTTTTGTTTTCCCTCTGTCTTGGTGCACCTTTGAATGGTTCTGTAGGCAAAATAATGTATCATCATCCCACCTTAGGGATGCAAGGTGGGAGGGATGCAAAGGTGCTATATTTACCAAGGGAGAAGAGGCAGCAGTGCAAAATGAGGCTTGTCCCTGGATGGAAGTAGCTTGTCCCTGTTGAGCTCAGTTCACTGCTGTCACTCCACTTACTGCTTAATGTGGCTGATGAAATTTTACCTAGAATGCATCAAATGCAATCCTATTAAATTCTAATTTAATCTGAGGCAGAAAGCAGCTACCAGTGCACACACAAATGCTGCTGTGATGAGTGATAGGAGAACAAGAATGTCAGCTGTTGCATGGATTTGCAATGGAGTGGGAATAGAGGAGGCTTTGGACATAAACATGTGGGCAATGCTCTTATGTGCTTTGGTGCAACAGAGCATGGAGCTGATATCAACATCCTACCAAACACCATCCTTAAACCTTGGTAGTCTGATCCCTTGTTTTAATTTTCAGCTGTCTTAAAATGCATCCCGATAAACCGTTGATAAATCAAGTAGCTACCATCAGATGATCTGTAATGGAGCATAAGTGAAGCTGTAATAAAGCAAATAGGCCCATCCATATCATTCTAGATTTGCTTTTGAACTGGCATAGAAAGTGCTGAGACAGAGATGAAGTGGCCTGATGATTTAGGAAGAAGTGGATGAGTGTCTAAATAATAAATGATCCCAGGGAAAATGTCACATGAGAGGTTTTATGACGTGTTAATGTTGTAGAATAAGTTACATTGTCAAGGAATGGAAGTATCGGATTTGAACAATACTCCATGTGATGAAGTGTTCCTCATGTGAGAGGTGCTGCTACAGTCACACCAGTTACCAAGTGACAAAATCAAGTAATTTCATTGTGATTTCACAGTATTTTTTGCATGTTGAATGAAAGGCTTCATTGCCTCGGTTTAGTCGGCTTCACTTTTAATAATACTCATTGCACCATATATGTTTCTTCTGTTTTTAGTGCCAATTTCTCAACTTGGCACAAGATTCAAATTTTAATGCAGTCAACAACATAAAAGCCAAGTTTATCTTAAACTTTGTTATGGTAATGACTTTTACCTGCTGGGAGCCAATGTGAATATTACATGGAGAAGTACTTCCTGTAGCTGGGGAGCCGGTGTAAAGGGACAGTCAAAACCCCCTAAAAATGTAGGAGACGTGCTTCAAGCCTTTGGTGTAAGGTAATTTCAGTCTATTTGAAGGACTTGACACAAGGACATGCCTTCCAGTGCTGTTTTATATTTCCCCAACTTCTGGTGATGAGGAGGTCCCCCTGGACATGCTTACTTCAGCTTTCTGAGAAGGTAGTGGAGCTGTTGTGATTCTTAATCCTGGTGTAAAGCTTATGTATAATGCAAAAAAATCAAAGTAGATTATTGAACAAGCGTGATGCTTGAAAATCTCCATGGACTGTGAAACGTGAGTGTGGGAGCAAGAGTCACCCAAATGAGTGTTTTTAGAAACCATTTCCTAAGGATCTCCATGGGATGGCAGATGTCAGGAGAAACAGCTTCCACTGCTTTATCTGCACAAAGCCTTTAGAATAAGGTAACCATGGGGGAGAGGTGCCAGAATACACACAGGCACCTGCTGAGAATGGAAGGTGAATTGGGGTCATCTCTCTCCAATGGGTGAAAACGGGTTATGAAAAGGCAGGGAGTGAGGGAGGTGGGGAAGGAGAAGGGGCTTGTTCGGTAGTCCCAGGAGAGAAATGGGACTGGTTGAAGCAGTGCTGCAGACTCCAATATAGACAGGAGAGAAAAGCAAAATCAATCAGGGTTAATGATGGTCCATCTCCCTTCTGCCCTCCACGTGAGAGGCAAAGGCAGAATGGGGTGATAAAGATGCATGAATAATTGCAATGACAAAACACCTGCCTGCCAGGGAGAAGTGGTGAATGAATTCCTTATTCATAGCTTTAAAGCCCACATATCTAACTTAAGCATAGCTGAGTTTGGGGAATAGTAGTCAAGAAGATGAATGGCTGGACCTCACTGAGTTAAGAAGGATAAAATAATGCACACTGTGTATGAACACAGTACCAAATACATTCTGTTTCACGGATTACGTGAAGAAGTGGTGTTCAGAAGAGTAAGACAACACCCTGCCTGTTTGTTACTGTCAATGCAGTCTGGATGTGATTAGAGGGTGGTCCTTTAGGGAGGAAGAAGAAACTTCTTTCCCCATCTGAACTGGAGAAAAACCTCAGTTCAACTCATGGCTGCAGTAAATATTAATTATACAAAGAGGAGGGATGGCTGAGAATAGCACACCCACGCTGGGTGGTAGCCCAGTGGCTGGGAGACCTGCAAGGCATGAGAGGAAAAGGGAGAAAGATCCACACTTTGGCCGGTTTGGACCAGCAAATGAAACTAAATTTCCCCATATTTAGGAACTTCCTAAAGAAAGGCAAAAAGCTCCTGTTAGTACCTTCATCAAATTAGTGCCCCAACAGCAACACAAGAAGGCAAGAGAGTTTCAATCACAGCCAAAACACGGCAAACTTGAAGTCCCTTGGGAAAACAGTTTAGCCACGTTCAGGCACACGTCTTCCCATTTATATTAATGCAAAGGGAAAATCTAAGGAGGGGACTGAGTTCAGTTGCTCACCACATCCTGATTAGCTGCTTATTGAAAATAACAGCTTTGCCTGTTTATGTTCACCTCCCACTAAACAGAAAGTTGCTGCCAGCAGCTCAGGGTATTCTCTCAGCAGAAAAGCATCAGTCTGGAGGGATGCAGGTCTGTGTCCTGCTGACAGCTTGGAAATCTACTATCTAAAGGTTGCATCAGAACTTGTCTTCAAGAAAAGGTAAATGAGTAAATTGCAACTAAGCATCAAGTTTAGATAAATAACTCTTTGGATCCAGAAGCCAAATAATTCCCATTGGCCATAGCCTGTTATTTTTTGATGGAGACAAACAGAGGCCATTCAGGGGAGACCTTTAAAAACCAACTGGCCAAATTCAGCCTGGATGTTTAAAGTCTCAGAAGTGCTTCCCACTTCACTGATGTCAAATTGTCTTTTCTTTATCATCAACACAGGTAGCTCATTTGTTTTCTGATCTTCATTCCTCAGTGCTGTTTCAGAAGCCCAAATGCATGGAATTGGTTCAAAACCCACCTAAATATCTAAAGCGAGTTAGATCTAAACCCTACACCTAAATCTCTAAGCTGCCTGAGGTGGAAGGTCTACTCAGTTCTTGTATATTGATGTATTTTAGGTTTCCTCTTTGTCCCAGTTCTGACTTGAACTGGTTTGAAAACTTGCATCAGGAAGAGCAAGCTGCACCAGGTACATGATGGGACTCCTGAATCTACATGAGTATTCTGGGCAAGCTTTTAAAGACTACAAAGAACATGGTGTCTGCCAAGGACTTTAGGAAACAAACTTTACATAATAATAATAGTGAGTTCATGTGTACCAGGATTCCTCTTCTTTTTGCAACAGCATCAGACACTGCTCACTGAAATCCATGAACAAGAATAGCAATGACTGACTGGGTTTTGGTGCCTTTTTTTCCTCTTTGTTTTACATACAATCATTCTAAGGAGGACCTTTGAACCTTGACACAAGCCATCAGCTGCCCTTGGGGTAGAAGTGAACAGAATCACCTCTGTCTGTAGGTGTGGGGGTGCTAAAATCTGCTGTGGCTGAGCTGTAGAGAGCCCCCATATGGGCATTATCAGCACCAGTACTGATGCAGTGCAGAACTGAGTTGCTTTTGCAGTTACCCACATTAGCACCTGCATTGCCAGGTTTAGTTCAGATCCCACAGCAGTGCCCTCCCAGCTCAGAGGAAGAAAAGAAGTTTTCATATCTCCTCTTAATTTCTTCAGTTTAATCTCAGTATTTTGAATCCTGTTGGTGCAGTCCTCATCACCCTGTTAGATTAAAACCAAAACCACATCATCTAAGTGCATTTGCTTGTTTCTAACAAATATGTTGCCATGGGAACTCACTGTTGCTCTAGCTGCTGTGCCAGATGCACCAGCTCTCTGTCCCTGGGCTGTTTTAGTTTTTCCAATAAATTAATTGCATTTAAATTAAACATACTAAGTGATTTCTTGTCAATTAATTTGATTGTTAAGCTGGGTACTCGCAAAGTTTCTCTCTTCCTACTCACCCCACAAGATTAATTAACTCCTCCAGATATTGTAGTCCATCACATGAAGCTGTGGTCTTCCCCAGCGCTCTGCAGTTGGAGTACTCGCTATCTGCATGGGAAGTAATCAGTGGCCAAAGTAATTGCTTTTCACAAGTCTGTTCTCAGCTGTCCTGTCAGATTAAAGCTCTAATGAAACTGTTTCAGCTTCCAGGAAAAAATATTCACCAGAAATGTGCTGTAATTGCCGGTGGAAAGCAAAGCTGAGAATGGAATTGGGTTGGTTTAGCACATCAGATGTTCATTTGTTGGTCCTCTTTGGAGGCATTCCCACCAGTGCTGGCTCTGGCATGTTTCCTCCTCGCATTCCTGCTGTGGGAGGATGTTTGGGTTCCTCCCAATATCCCTATTTTGTGTTAAGGCAGTAAAAGATGGAGAAGAATTCATGCATAATGCACAGTGGGTGAAGAGCATCGCTGGCACAGAGGCAGACAAATGATACAGGGTTGCTCTGTACTTTGCTCGTGTACATTCAGCCAGTGGTTGGGGCTTGAGGAAATACTTAAGTTTGAACTTAGAAAGTCAGTAAAAAGATTGTCCAAGAGTGGTTTCTAGATCGGAACTCTGAGAGCTCAGCAGCAAATGAGCTTATGAATCTATTGCTTAGATTTGTAACAGGCTTCCTCCTAAAATTCAGAGGTCTTGGAGCAGAATGTTTGCTGTGGGTACATGTGCCCAACACTAGCCTAGAGAGAGGAAAAGATAGTGAATATATGTAGCAGGCTTAAAACACTTTACACACAGCTTCCTGATCTGCAATCCTAAGCTGTAAAGAAACTGACTGATAAATTAGTAGCCTACAGGGAAATCTTATTTACAAGGAAGGCATCAGAAACATTAATGCATCTTTATTAGCCTTATTTAGACCATATGCTTGGTTCGTGGTTGAAACTGCAGCGTCCCTGCAGTAAAGCAGCAGTGTGTAGATGCTGAGTTACAAACAGCCGATTTGCATGCTTGCCTGGACCTCTGCAGCTGCTGGGACTTCTTGCTGCAGTGAGAAGTAGGCGGATAATCAACAGGTAAAGGGAAGTGGAATTTTCTTTGTCTCCTCCAGGATTTCATTGAGTAACTAAGTTATGGAGAGTACAGAAAGGGCGAATGATGATTTTATAGAGGAGGGGGTGCACAAACTGGAGTTTGTCAGCTTTGGTGAGAGAGAACACAGAGAGGTGTTTCTGTTTTTTTCCACTGTCTGAAGGGGGCTACAAGGATGCTGCAGAGGGACTCTTCATCAGGGACTGGAGTGATAGGACAAGGGGTGATGGGTTCAAACTGAAACAGGGGAGGTTCAGGTTGGAGATAAGGCAGAAGCTCTTCCCTGTGAGGGTGCTGAGGCGCTGGCACAGGGTGCCCAGAGAAGCTGTGGCTGCCCCATCCTTGGCAGTGTTCAAGGCCAGGTTGGACACAGGGGCTTGGAGAAGCTGCTCTAGTGGAAGGGGTCCCTGCCCGTGGCAGGGGTTGGAGCTGGGTGATCTTCAGGTCATTTACAACCCAAAACATAGATCCTATGATTCTATATCTTCCAGCCTCCTTGTCCTCTGAAATCTTTCCTCCATAGTAACAAGAGCTGGGACATGCCATGTTTATGGTTTTTGTTGTTGTATGTTGCAAGATAACCCCTGTCAGAGTTAGGAGATGCTGTCCTGCACCTGCAAAAATGCCATAGCTGCACCTTACACATCAGTGGGAGATAAGCTGGTTGCTTTGGTGGAGGATATTATCTATAGGCATGTATTATGTATTATCATTGTAAACTAAAATTTAATAGCAAATTCTATGCTTTATTCATTAGGATGGTTACAAGTGTTTTTGGATTAAGCTGTAGTTACTTGCTTTTTAATGCATGCACATACTTTGCTGCATATGTTTAGATAAATCAAGTATAGGCCAATGGAAAGGAATTAAAAAGTTGATTACCATAACTTTGAATTTGATTTCCTCTCTGGCTTTTCCTATTCCAAGCATGTTTCACTTTGCAGATTGTTTTGCTTGGTTCGGGCCAGTGCAATCCTTGCAATTTTTCACTCAACACAGTGAACAGAAGATGTCTCGCTGCTTTTAGTGGCAACAGTTTCATTGCCAAACTTCCCTTGGCACCTTTGAAGCTTGATTTGTTTATTTCCCTGTTTAACGGAATGCAAGTCCTTTCAATCACCCCATGGTGGTTTCTTGCTCTCCTGTTGAGTCTGAGTTTTAAACTGAAACGTAAGCCTAAGCAAGCAGGTGGATCATTCCTAGCTGAAACTTTCTACAGGCTAATTGTAGCTGGAGAATGACAAAATTCCCATTTTGTTCCTCATCATCCATGAAACAAAAAATATATTGAAAGAAATGCATGGAAAGAATCTTGGGGGCTCTATTAATGCCAAACACAAAGAAGCTCGTGCTTAGATTGTACTTCTTTGATTACTCACCTGAGTTATTAGATACATGTAGAACACCCATTTAAATGTACATCAGTTCTCCTTCTGCAATAGATAAATGTGCTTGGCCTTGAATCTGTAAGCAGAATACAGCACTTTGATGTAGGAACTGGAACTGAATAAAGCCAGTCAGGAGACCGAGGGAAGGATGCGGTTGGCTTTAAAGTGAATGGAACAGAGGAGTCCCTTGGTTAGTTAATTAACTTCAATTTATATTTTAATGAACTTTCTCTGATGCTGGTTTAAGTATCCAGATGCTTGCAAATATTTTTCCCCAGCAACAGCCTTTTGTTGGTGTGTTGTAAATTCTAAAGTGGGGGAGAACCTGTTTTCTGTATCGCAGGAATCACTTTAGTATTTGCACTGTGGCAGCATCAGTGTGCTGGTGGTTCAGGGAGGGCAGGTGGTCAGAGCTGGATGCTCACTACAGGTCACTGGTCTGGTGAAGCTCTTCCCAGGCTCCTCCTGCACAAGGAGGGCTTGGGTTAAATCAGATTTTTTTTACTCCAAATAGCTCTCTGTTTGCTAACAAGAATAGTGGAGTTGAGAGAACCTTGTTCTGCTAGACCCAAGTTGTGCAAGGTGCATGAAGGTAGCCCTTCCCACAGAGGTTATCCTTAAATCCTCAAATGTTCTTCAGGAATTGGCTGTACTTACAGAATCCCAGACTGGTTTGGGTTGGAAAGGACCTTAAAATCATCCAGTTCCAACCCCCTGCTGTGGGCAGGGATACCTCGCACTAAACCATGTAGGTTCTGTCCAACCTGGCTTTGGACACTGCCAGGGATGGAGCATTTACCACTTCTTTGGGCAACCTGTGCCAGTGTCTCACCACCCTCACAGTAAAGAACTAACTAATGCCAAGGCAATCCTCTTTGCTATTTGTTACAGGGAACTCTGGAATAAACTTTAATTTCAAGATGATGGGGCAGCAATGTTTCAAATCACACCTTGCTTCTAGAGAGGGGCTGATCCAAGCCCTGGGTGATGGCTTTGCCTGGTGGCAACTCCCACATCAATAGGATAAATGACACTCCCAGAGTCAGATACTCGCCTTGGGTGGGATTTTGGGAGCAGCCCGTGCTGGCTGAGCTCTCCAGCAGGAGCAGAGTTAAGCAGCTTTCAGTGCCTCGGAAAATCTCACCCAGAAGCAAAGCTGGAATAAGCACATCTGAAGTTAACGAAGTGGCACGGCTGGATTTCTCTCTGAGCACAGTAAAAAAGAGGAATTGTCCCGTGGGTGAAGACCTGGGCTGAAATATGGGAGAGCTTGCCTGCAGGGACAGATTATCATCCCTCCCACCCCAAACCAAAGGCAGATGTTTTCCTCTTGCTGCCTTTCCATAACTCGTCCTGCCAAGGACTCCCTGTGCACTGCTGAGCAAATTGCTTGTTCTCTTACATCCAAATTCCTTTTTGCAGTTCAGCTCCCACAGTTTTGGCTTTTGTTTGCTTGTAATAGAAATACTCTGGAAGAGGAAACATCCTCTGTATTTTACACAGCAAAACAGGGCTGTGTTCTCACGAACAACTACAACAGCCAGGAAACAATGGCAGTTTCACCTTGGTAGTCTGTTGGAGGTTTTCCATTTCCTTTATCCTGGACTACTTGTAATTGAAGATGCAACTGTCCTTGTTAAATGAGCAATTTCAGTATTCTTCCTATTGATGCTATTAATTGGATGCTTAATTCTTTAAAACATCACAGTCATCTGTGGAATGAACCAGATTTAAGATCCCATAGCGGAATAACCACATCTGCCGCCGTAGAGCTCACTGGAGCTGCAATTAGCCAGTTAAAGGCATCAGACATCTGCGTGTTAAGAGATTAGGTCCATCCTACAGCTTTCATTACCTCGGTGAGAAGTGGGTGGGTTAATGGAACTCCTCATTGCGGCACTGTATTTTCAGTAATTGTGGTCACCAGATTGTGTAGGGGTGGCTGCGCTAAAAGTGCACTAGGGGGAAAAACGTATTGGGTTCCATCCCCAGGGCTTGAGCAGCAGGTTGAGGGGAGGTGATCCCTCTGCTGTGCTCTGGGGAGACCCCACTCCAAGCACTGTGTGCAGTTCTGATGTCCCCAACATTGGAAGGACATGGAACTGTTGGAGCAAGTTCCAGAGGTCACGAGGATGGTCAGGGGCACATCATCCGGTGTGGAGCCAGGCTGAGAACACTGGGGCTGTTCAGCCTGGAGAAGAGAAGCTGTGTGGAGACCTCAGAGCAGCTTCCAGTGTCTGAAGGGGGCTACAAGGATGCTGGAGAGGGACTCTTCATCAGGGACTGTAGCGATAGGACAAGGGGTGATGGGCTCAGTGGAACAGGGGAAGTTCAGGTTGGAGATAAGGCAGAAGCTCTTCTTTCCTGTGAGGGTGCTGAGGTGCTGGCACAGGGTGCCCAGAGAAGCTGTGGCTGCCCCATCCCTGGCAGTGTTCAAGGCCAGGCTGGACACAGAGGCTTGGAGCAAGCTGCTCTAGTGGAAGGGGTCCCTGCCCGTGGCAGGGGGTTGGAACTGGATGATCTTAAGGTCCTTTCCAACTCAAACCATTCTATGATCTATTGCTGTTAGTTCAGGTGATAGGAAGAGTTTCTGGTTGTGCTCTGTGTGAGGAGTCCTCTACAGACTCAAAAGTTTTTTTGCAGTTACCTGCTTTTACCATAATGCTTTGAAACACTTCTTGGAGTTCTTGGGGTTTGCTTTTAATATTTTGGGCTTTTCTGATACTACCCCCAGCACCTGAGACTGCAGGCTGGGCGCCAGAGGAGCCCTCCTTGCAGATAAATGATAAAAGAGACCTGGACAGGTTGGAGAGTTGGGCGGAGAGGAACTTGATGAAATTCAACAAGGGCAAGTGTAGAGTCTTGCATCTGGGGAAGAACAACCCCATGTACCAGTACAGGCTGGGGGCTGACCTGCTGGACAGTAGTGAAGGGGAAAGGGACCTGGGGGTCTTGGTGG